CGCGGTATTTCGACAGTTTAGAAGTTTTGGATGCTAGTAATAATCAGTTAGTGGGAACTATACCTTCTTTCAATTTTATAGTCTCTTTGCGGATCCTTCGGCTTGGGAACAACCAGTTGTCAGGATCATTACCGGGAGCACTTTTGCAAGAAAGCTCCATGATCTTATCCGAACTCGATCTCAGCCTTAATCAACTTGAAGGTATTTTCTCTTTATTTCATAACTTCAGTGAGCAATTGCATCTGTCAATGTATTGTGCTATTCAATCCTAGTTTGCTTTATATCATAAATTTTACCCTGCATTGCTAATTAAGTAATGTGCAGTGCAATGGCATTCTTGGAGCGTCGCATTATGCCTCTGTACCTATAACATATGCTTCTTTTCTTCCAGCTTTCAGAAAACATCATAGTCTCCATATCTTGAACTAAACCCTAAACCTGCAAACAAGTTTGTCTCGGATCATTTGAGAGATGATCAAACTAACATGGTAGCTATGCAACATGACAATAAGTTACACTAAGTGTTTGAAAATAGTATCACACCTTGACCTTAAATGTAGTTAAAATATGTTAAAAGAAGTTTACAGCTAGCAAGTGTATTTCATATTATTTATCTTGGAGGTTTACCTTGTACATTGTTTCGTTTATCCAAAATTAGTAGGTCCTTTCTATCGATTCCGTATGTGTAGTTCAAAGTCGATTCTTTAAGGTTTCATATGCTGATTACTTCTGGTTCCAGGCTATTATATTTTCAAACAATTTTTTGTTAATAATTTTTTTCTTCATGAATCCACATCCATGCAGGGCCAGTAGGAAGTATAACCTCATCAACTCTAAAGAAGCTCAACATATCATCAAACAAACTCTCGGGGTCCTTACCGTATAGGATAGGGCATTGTGCCGTCATAGACCTCAGTAACAACATACTCTCAGGGGACTTGTCAAGAATTGAAGGCTGGGGGAATTATGTTGAAGTTATTGAACTCAATTCAAACTCTCTGACTGGGACCTTGCCGAACCAAACTTCTCAGTTTTTAAGGCTGACTACATTCAAGGTATCAAACGACTCATTACAAGGTGTGCTTCCATCAATTTTAGGTACATACCCAGAACTAAAGGTCATCGATCTTAGCCTCAACTACCTTAACGGATCTCTCCTTCCCAGCCTCTTCATGTCAACAAAATTGACTGATCTCAATCTTTCAGGCAATAACTTTACTGGTTCACTACCTCTTCAGGACATAAAGAACATGCCTTCCATAAGTTCTGCAGAAAATTTTAGCCTGGTGACTCTTGATCTGTCTTATAACTCATTAACCGGCAGCTTGCCCCTGGAAATCGCCAAGTTCCATAACTTGGAGGTTCTTAACCTATCCAATAACAAATTCGAGGGTAGCATCCCTGATAGTCTTCCTAATGAACTGAAAGGATTCAATGTGTCTTTTAATAATTTCTCTGGTGCTGTATCTGAAAACTTGAGGGGATATCCCAACTCATCATTCCATCCCGGAAACTCCTTACTGAAGTTTGTTTCTTTTCCATTGTCGCCAAAAGGTTCTTAAGACCTGAATTTGAAGGCTCACGGGTCTCAGCTGAAACCTGTCGCCAGAATTGCCTTGATTGTAGGCTTGGTTGGTGGTGCTGCTATAATAGCTCTTGTGAGCGTAATGATTTATTATAGGAACAACTGGCAGGAAACTACAAGCGAGGGCCTGAAAAGAAACAGCAGCAAAGAAACTGTACATCAAGGAGAGTATTCCCATTCTTATACATCAGCACCTTACAGAAGCAAGGATTCATCCTCGTCTTCATTTAGTTTCCGTCAAAAGCTTTTGTCATCGACCAAAAAGGGTTCTGCTTATGATCAGGGAAACAGTTCATTCGTCTTAAATGACCCTAAATATCTATGTCATCTCGAGTCCACAAGAAGAGATGATGGTTTGGCTTCTCCAATGTTTATATTGTCGTCTTCAAATGCATCTCCACCAAAAGACCAATTTCCATTTGAGAGTTCGAGTGCACTAAAGGTTCGTTCTCCTGATAAACTGGCCGGGGATCTGCATCTCTTTGATGGATCTCTGACACTGACCGCAGACGAACTTTCACGTGCTCCGGCTGAAATTATTGGAAGGAGTTGCCACGGTACATTGTATAAAGCTACACTTGACTCTGGTAATGTAATGGCTATCAAATGGTTGAAGGAAGGATGGCAAAAGGTAAAAAGGAATTCGCGAGGGAAGTGAAGAAACTCAGGTACATCAAACACCCAAATTTAGTTTCTCTTCAGGGTTATTATTGGGAACCCAAGGAGCATGAGAAGTTGATCATATCAAATTACATAAATGCACAATGTTTGGCGTTCTATCTTCAAACATTTTACTAGAAACTCCAAATTTGAATGCACGCCTCACTGATTACAGACTCCATCGGATACTGACGTCAGCAGGCACCACTGAACAAGTTCTGAATGCAGGTGCTCTTGGCTATCGCCCCCCTGAGTTTGCTAGCTCAAGCAAACCATGTCCATCCTTAAAAAGTGATGTATATGCCTTTGGGGTTATACTAATGGAGCTTCTAACAGGAAAGAGTTCGGGAGAGATAGTTTCAGGGAGCACAGGTATGGTTGATCTAACTGACTGGGTGAGGTTGTTAGCATCGGAAAACCGTTCCAGTGACTGCTTCGATCCTATGATATTGGAAAGGGATTACGTTGAAGACACGCAGAGAACGCTGGATGGCATGCTACAGGTGGCTCTGAGATGCATCCTACCGGCACAAGAGAGGCCCGATATGAAATCAGTTTACGAAGATCTCTCGGTAATCATGTCACAGAAAGGTAAACAAAAGGGGTTATAACCGCGTAGCTTAACTACTAAACTCCCATTTATTGGTTCTTTACTTCCATTCGTGTAGTAAATATCATTCGGATAGGGTTAGTGGGAAGGAATAAAGTTTCAGATGGTGGGTTGACCATTCCTTTTTAACCCTTCTTTATGACTGTAACTTTAGGTATATTCTTCATTCGACTCATTCCATGTAATACAAGCCTTCTTATACAGCCCTATGTTTCTTTACATTTTACCTCATATTTCCTAATCTTAAACATTCTAGTGGAACAAAGAACACAAGAGTTGGTGGAGATGCCTTTTGCAGCCCATCTTTGAACTTCCTAACCACATTTATAGGTTCAAAAACGGTAGGCTTAATTTAGTTTCTGTGGCAGGCATAATGAAGAACATCAACCCAGGCTATCAGGTTTGAGAATGTTTTGGGGCTTTTCAATTTGTGGGCACTGAGCAAGAACAAAAATATTTTGCCCTCTTCCCATGCCTAGGGGTGTTTTTCGGGAGTCGATGAGTTGAGAAGTGCTTGACTCACTCAAAAACTGTTTCATTCATGCTTGACTCGATGTTCGATAAAATTTCACTCGATTCATGCTCGTTAAAAAAAATCATTACCCGGTTATACTTTTTATTTGTTGAATTCGTTAGAATTTTTATCTTTTTTTAAGTATATGTAAAATCTAGTTCTTTTTAATATATGTAAAATCTATTAATGGTATATAGAGCTTAATATAAATATAGTTTAACAAAGAAAATCAAAATAGTTATACCACCGTCACAGCAATCTGTAAATTTTTATATAAATTCTAATTGAGTCTTAAATATGCCTTTGACTGAGAGAGTCATTCATAAAGGTATGTCCTGGACTGTGGGAGCAATTACTGAACTAAACTTTTTTGTGCCAAAAAAAAAAAAGAAAATTAAAAAAGTGTGTCAATCAATTTCAAATTTTAAACTCCAAACTAACAATTTACAAACCCAAGTACACCAAACAAACATATTACATTCAAAGGAACAATTTAAGAAAACATCAAATTAACATATTACAACTATTCTTGAGTTGTCAATACATAATTAATCTTAAAATTGAGAAAATCAACATCTTAAGATAAAATAATAAAAAATTAACGATATGTATGTGAATTTATCGAGTTGAGTTAGATATTTTTCGATTCGATTTATTAAGTTCTTAAGTCGAATTCGAGTTCTAATCAAGTCAACTCGAGTAAAAAATTGATCGAATTTTAATTAAATTAAACTCGAACTATTCCACTCACTTAATATTCCTATTCATGTCGCTCCAATCATATTTTGACATGATATATTAAATTATATTACACTAACATTTGTTTACTACTCTAATTGGTGTCGTGTTTCCTTCTCATTTTGAGTAAACCAAGTAACCAACAGAAGAGGGAATTATGTCTGAATATCATTAACGGTGAAACGTGCCTCTCTTGTCATTTTTCTCAACTGAAAATTTGTGAATAAAAAAATAATATATTTATCCCTCAAAAATGAAAATTGGAAAAGGGGCCCAATGCCAAGTGGCACACGTTGAATTCTTCCACAGGGAGGAACAATGAAAAGCGGCAGATAAAACCCAATAATGAAGAAACACGTACGCCAACCACACATCAGATAAGACGCCATTTCCTGACATTTCGCTCTCTAAAAAGCAAAATAAATCCCTTTGATTCATTCATCATACTGGCCAGCTCTCCAAACCCTTTATTCTTCCATCAAGTTATCAGTATACGGCACCAGAAGCATTGAGCAACGAAAATAAAAGCTTGTTGGACTTTTGATTTCTCTTTATTTTCAGGTATGTTCTTCCATTGTTACATTTTTTTTTCTTGCATGTTCAATCTTTAAATTCGACTTCTAGCTGGTTATTGCCGCGTTTGGTTCGATGGAATAGTCATTGCATTACGAGTTGATTCAGTGTGCCAAAGCAATGTAACCGTTTAGTTCGCGGGAAAATATTATCATTAATTTGTTTGTTTCTTTTATGGAAAGTGCAATGGTTATTGTAGAGGAAAGTGACTTTAGTGATTAAGATTACAGTCAATTTACACGCCCCTGTTTTAATGAAATCCGGATATTTTCCCCCCTAAACCGCGTAAATCTTTAGTATTTAAACCTCTGCTTTCTGTCTCTGACAATCAAAACACTGAACTGCTGCTTTCTCCATCTTTCTTCTTATAGGATCTACTGAGTTAACATCGCGATGGCCGAACGAGTCCACCCGGCCGATTCTCCACCCACCTCCGGCGAATACCCAACTTCAAAAGCAGCAACTTCGTCCCCCGAGAAACCTGCTCCACAACCTGGAACTTACGTCATCCAAATTCCCAAGGACCAAATCTACCGCGTCCCTTCTCCGGATAACGCGCGCCGCTATGAGCATCTATCCAAACGGAAGGCTCGTCGGAGTAGCTGTCGCAGCTGCTGTTTCTGCTTGTTGATTACCGTCATCGTCCTACTCCTCGTATCCGCCATTGCTGCCGCGGTGATTTACTTCGTTTACAAGCCCGAGTCTCCAAATTACTCCGTCGAGAACGTTGTCATCAAGGGATTCAACTTGAATTCATCATCTCCGATCTCTCCTGAATTCGACATCACCGTCCGGGCACACAACCCCAACGACAAAATTGGCATTTACTACGATAAAGGCAGCTCCGTTGGAGTTTACTACGAAGACATTAACCTCTGTAGAGGCGGGTTGCCAGCTTTTTACCAGCCGACGAATAACGTAACGGTGTTCAAAACAGCTTTAAAGGGCTCTGCAATTGAACTAACAAACGGCGCGCTTAGGGCTCTTTCCGACCAGCAAAACAAGAGAGCGGTGCCGTTTCGTTTGAAGCTGAGAGCGCCAGTTAAGATCAAAGTGGGGTCCTTTAAGACGTGGAAAATTACTGTTAAAGTGACGTGCAAGATTACGGTGGACAGGTTAACGGCGGCGTCCAGGATTGTATCAAAGGATTGCGATTATGGAGTTGATCTCTGGTAAAGATTGTAGCAATTGGTACAGTTAGAGTGTTTGGTTGCAGGGATAGTGCGCCATGAATGTAATATTTTATTCTATATACATAGTAGTGGCATACATGACATATTTTCAATTAAATAAATTTATAAGATACGATTTATTTAATTATTTTTCTATAAAAAGATTGTAATTTCAAAAGTGTAAAATTTCAATTTGAATGCAGGAATTTATATATATATATATCGTTACCAAGAAAGATGCATAGTGTAATGTGTTTCATGACTTTGATGTAATATTTTTTATATTCATTAGTATTTTATTTATTGGTTGATTAATTCAAATTAGATATTATAAAAGTCTATATTAAATGTAATTTTCGTAACTTAATTTATTACATTTATAATATTAAGATTCATACTCTTAGTTTTGTTTAAAAAATTTAATATCTCATCTTACTGTAATAACTAATTATTGATATGACTTAATGTAAAATATATAATATGAGAGTAATAATATTCTAATAATGTTTTTATTTAATGGCAGAAATGAAGAAACAGAACAAGAGATTTCAAATAAAATGTGGGGTTAAGTCATCTTCTAACACCTAACCTATTGGACCTGGGTAATTAAATGATGGATTATAGGCTCAAACCCAAGTATTCCCTCCTAGGCTACTTCGCCTACTTTTATGTATAAAAACTTCTCAGCCCTACCAAGCCTTTCATCTCCTATATGTATAGTTTTAAATTTGGGGAGTACAATTTTTTTTAATTTAATTTAATTTTACTCATGATTTTATTCATTTTAATTAATTAAAAAAAATCAAATTCAAGTCAAGGTATAAAATAGAGCTTGAATAACTTGAACTTTTTTAATAATTATTAGATTGATTTTCAAGTTCGAGTCGAATCTTTAACTCTACATGATATATAATATATGTATATTACATATGAAAAATATAAAAAAAACAATATATATCATATATGGTTATAGAAAATCGGTTAAACTAAAATGAAATAATATCGTAACATTATAAATATTTACAGTTAAATTTAAACAAAAACTCGAACAACTCGACTAGAAAAAAAATCGAAATAAAGTTTAAACTATAAAATAAGATTCGTCAATTCAACTAATTCGAAATATTTAGACTCAAATCGACTCAATCGAATACTCATCTCAATCTTAAACCCTAATCAACCCACGCTCCAACTCCGCCACCGCCGAACCACCGTCACCCGCCTCCTCAATTCCGCAACAACAATTTTGAACTTGCTCTTGAATTCTGTGTAAACGTAGGTCTGAATTTTTTTTTTTTTTGGAAAGGATGTCTGATGTATATTTAAATATAAATATACGATTTTTTTTATCAAATATGAATATAAAATTATGACATAAGAGTTATATTATATTATTTTAAAATTTGATTATCCTCAAATCATCTGCATGTTCGTGGTGGACATCAGATCCGCATTTGAACAACATAGGTTGTATTCGTTTATGGTTAAAAGGTGAATTATTTATTATTTGTTATACAATTTTAATTATTATTTTTAAAGATGATTGTCGTCACGTGTTGCCATAAATAATTTAAAGATAGTAAAAATGATTTGTAGGTTTTATTTAAGATTTTCTTTTAATTGAAAATCATAATTTGTTGTTTTTATCTTGTTTCCCTTGTCGTTTATAATTATATCTTTGACCACACAATGATAAAAGAATCAATCAATCGTATATAATTTTTGTAGACAAATTCTTGAATGCCCAAGAAAAATGACATAACCATATTAAGAAATCAATTCTAATTTAAGACATAAAGTACGATACTTAAACTGTAATCCTATATTAAATACACAAGAAAAAAAGACAAACCAATTCTAATTTAAGACAGGAAATATGATATTTACACTATAAAATCTTATTTTGAATGCACAATAAAAATCAATTCTAATTCAAGATAAAATGTATTATAATACCTTTTTAAGCCACAAAAATAAATTATAATACTCCTTTTTAAGCCACGTACCATGGCCATGTGATCTTGGCTTTGTATGAAAGAAAGGACCCAAAATACTAAAAGGGGAGATGAATTTTGCAGATAAAACCTCATATGCAACATATACATATATATATATATATATAAAACACCATGACGCCAAGAATATTTGGATCGTTGCCCCTTTTTCCTTTGGGTGGAAATGAAATATTTTATTTCCTGGCTTTTGTTATTTTTTACTGAAATGGGGACCATTGAAAAGAAAAGTTCCAAACTTTGAACGAAGCCAAAGAAAGCCGACCCCACCAAACACTGGCACACTTGGCACAAAACCAGACCGGTTCCATCTTCCACCAAAGACAGGATCCTTAACCATCTTCTTTGCATTAACTGCTGAGGGATGAACAACAAGGATAGGTCTACACTAAAAGACAAACAGTTTCCATTCAACACAACCTGTCAACTATGTACCCATTACAGGACAAAAACACTCAGAAGCCTACAAAACATGAGAATGGTATAACCTGATTAACAAGTGAAAATGGAAGGGGAAGAAAAAAACAGTGACAATACATAAAACTTATTTAGGAAAAAGTAGCATCCTATGTAAATCAATAGCAGGATTATGGGGCTTTTTGTTTCTATTGAAAGCCTAATATGAAGACCTGCTAAACTTGCTAGCTTCTACAAGCATTAAGAAAAATACAAAAACCAAATAAAAAAATGTGGTTTGTAGCTAGTTCTGTGTAGAAAGACATTAGGGGAAGTAAAAGGTAGATCTTCCTGCAAGAAAACTGTGGTGAGCTGCCAAATGTGATCAGAACTTTGTTACTCAATACCAGAATGGACCATCCTGCTTCAGCATGGTATCCACCCCAGCTGCTTGTAGATCCTCCTTGGAATCAAAAGAAGAAAGATCAAACGGAGAACCAAACATCATCTGGAAGCTGTTGTTATTGTGGTTGGTCTCGGACGGAGGATTCAGAGCTTTAAAATGGTCAAATTGCCCTTCCCCTTGCGAAAATATCTGATGGTTACGAGGCATGCTGGATTCCCCGAAGAAATTTCCCCCCACCATGACTTGACTGCCGAAGAATTCATCCTGTTGCTGTTGCATTTTCGGCTGAAGGATATTTTGACCTTCGGTAACTAGATTGATTCCAGAATTCATGTTCTTGTTGCCTTGCATGTTGTTCTCATACATTGACATGAGCTCGCCGATCGTCTTTTGCCCGTCTTCTGGAACACCAAGTCCTGATAGGTCATAGGGTGTTGTAACAGATGTAATAGATGGTGCAGCCGGCTTGGATGGCGCGAAAGGTTGAGGGAAAATGACTGGTTTCACTTCATTCACGTTAAAATTTGAACCACCGAACTGTCTGGAGGAGTTTCTGTACGGACAAGTTAACTGATGATTGTCCCTGGCAATCCTGTCATGAAATCCCATGCAAAGTTCATTATAAGGGCACTGCAGGAATTCACAAGTGTAGATCTTGTGGTCCATCATGTTCAAATCATCAGACGGTTTCCTCTTTCGCATGAAATCCAGATTATTGACAACTCCAGTACTAGGATATGATTGTTGTTGAACGGTCCTCATTGTATTACCCAAATTGAATGCATTGAGATTCCCGGGTTTAAGCTCTTGCACATCGAAGTTCGGCTCAACGTCAGCCCCTTCAACATCATACTCACTGCAGTCGTTGAGAACAAAACTCCCACTTCCTCCACCCGAGGACAGTGGTGGGCAGGAATCAGGGTAGAGCTCTCGTAACAAAGCCTCCTCCTTGTTAATGATAGCAAGCCATGTTGCACTCTCCTTTGCTGTCATCTTGTCCTGCAAGCACTTAGACTGCCTTACGAGCTTGCGAATCTTGGCAATATCAGGCGACATATGCTTGATTACTGCCGTGAGAACCCCAACTTTCCAAGCTTTCTTCAAGTCATGAGGTTTCTTATAAGGAGGAGGGACTTGATCTTTGGGCAATTCAAGTTGTGGCCACCATTCCTCATTGCCAGTAGGCCACCATGGTGGGGGAACACCTTTCTCTAAAGGAAACCGCCTCTGAGGGGGATCACAATGCTGCATCAGTGCAGACAAAAGAGAGCCAAGCGTTGTATCTTGAAGTTCTTGCAAGGTGTGCGGGATCGGGCCAGTGGAGTTACAGCCATCGTTCTTGCCAGGAAACGAATTATCTGCCTGGTACTTGGCAATAGCAGCAGGACCATTACGATCAAACCGGACTTTATCCTTCCACCATTCTCGAAGATTGTCAGATGCTCCAGTTACCGGTTTTCCCTTTTCCGGAATAATCCCATAAACAAAACCTTGAGCCTTGCAAACCTTCATCATCTTCAACATGTACTTCAATATCCCATCCTGGGCCCTGGACATCTTCTTTCTCCTCGCCTGTTCTTGGGACTGACGCTGTTTGGCGATATCAATCACCTCCTTGCCCTTCTGCTGTTCCTTGAGCCGTTTCAGCCGCATTTTGTCCCTCCACAACCTCTTCTCAAGTTCATCGACATCAACCTCTTCATCAGAAAAATCATCCTCTACTGCGGCCTCTACTTCCATCCGCGGGACCGCCACATCTTTTTCCCCAAGGGGAGCACATAAGAAATCCATATCTCCACAAATACTCATCTCATCAAACATCATCATTCCAAGATCGGATCCGACTCCCAGATAAGTCTGAAACTTGAAGGAATCAAGTTAAGCCTGCACATAAAAATAAATAAATCGGTTAACAAAAACCATGCAAGTGCCGTTAATTTCCCAGATAAAACAGCATCATAAGAAAGGTGAAGTGATCAAAAGACAGTCTACACATAAATTTAATATAAAAAAATGACTGCAACAATTTAAAACCCTACAACTTCACCGACAACATGACTGACAATTCAGTTAAGCCAATGCCATAAAAGCATAAACAAAGATGTCGAATTCCTAAAACCTATGTTAAGACATAGACTATTAAGTGGTCCAAAAACAAAAAAGATTGTAAGAAAATTGAACATATCAAACTAAGCCCGATCAGCTACATACGAATTAGTTATCAAGACATAAAAGAGACCAAAAAACAAAATCTGATTCATAAATCTTAAATTAAGGAATAGTCAGATAAAAGTCAGATCTCCGGACAACTACGTGTATTAAAAATAAAAAATAACTGAAAAATAGAACCAAACTCAGATTCATTGTATCTGATACAATCAATGCTTCAAGTTTGATAATCGATTAAAAAACACAATAGGAGAGTAGAAAATCCCAAAGATAATCAAAACTTCAATACATTCAATCAATAACAATTTTTTTACCAAGCAGTAACTAAAACCCAAATCAGAAAAGGAAGAAAAGAAAAGAAAAACAACCCGGAAAACCAAACCTCAACTTTATCAACCAATAATGAAAACACGATATGGATAATTATCAGAGGAAATCAAAACATCAAATTGTTATGAATCCACAATAATAAAAAAGAAAGAACCGATATCAGAGAAGTGGTAGAAAACTCCATATAAAGTACTAAGATCAAGTAAGACATATGGAGATCCACTCAAACCAAGTCCAAACTGACTTACCAGTAAAAACAAAAAGAAAGAAAGAAAAACCCAGATTTTGGCCTATTCCACAAAGCTCATACAAATCGATACTGCAAGAAAAATAAGAAAATGGATGTATAGAGAAGGGAGGGATGGGAAGAAAGGAAAGGAAATGAATATTTATCCCTTTTTGAGGTTTGTAAAGGAGGAACTTTTCTGGTACCCCAAACGAGAGAAATATTAAAGAGAGGGTAAGAAGTGAAGGTGGCGGCTACCTGGCTCCCTGTTTGGTGATTTAAAAGCAGAGTGTGTGTGTGTGTGTTTGTCATAACTGCTAGGGATTTGTAAAATCAAAATATATATTGAAAAAAATGTAATAAAATCATTTGCATTGATTTATCTAATTATATTTATTTTAATTTTCTATCATCTGAAATTTTATGATTTACTATAATTCATTCTTTGTTTATAGGATTTAGATTCTTTAATCAGTAGTTAGGTTTTTTTGTATTTACGTGTTTATATATTTTTCCAGACGTCGATATTTAACTTAAAAATTGTTGATAACTATCGATAATTTTTTTGAATTGTTAACAATTTATCATAATTTTTTAAAGTATGTATGAGATATTTGAAGTCGTCATAACTGAATAACTTTCAAAAACTTGCATAAGAGAACGACTTTACTGAATGTTTGACAGCCACTAAATACTATGGATTTTACTATAATATCCCTCAAATTTTAAAATAAATCTTTAATCTTTTTATTTTTCACAATATTTACCATATGCCTCCCCTTTTTAACTCTCAATAAATAATTCATATAATCAAACAATTATGTCATTTTATATATTATTTTTTAACTAGAGAATATTTCTTCTGTTAATTTAATTAATAAAAATTAAAAAGAATGAAACTTTTGTGAAAGCATGAACCTATAAAACGGTTTGAATATATATATATATACATAATATAAAAACAACTTTGTGAAAGGATGAACCAATTAATTATTAATAATTTTAGGAGGACGAGGGAATATTATATATTTTAAAATTTAGTAAACAGGTGTATCAAAGAAATTTGTAATTTTTTTGTCGTAAAATAATATAGCAAAAAATTAAAATAAAATAATAATAAAAAGAATAAAATGATTGGACCAGAAACAAATTAACGCATGGTTTAGTCAACAGTATTAGTTTATTCCGTTGCTTATGTTAAAGGATTAATAGAAAATGGTAATCTTGTGGAGCACTATTTTGACACGTACACCATATAGCCCTCTTTTATTTACTATTCTTTTATGCCCATAACCAAAATCCAAGATGAAGGCTGAGCCGATAAGATCCATTTCCTACGTTTTTTTCCCTTCTTTTTACTTTAATAAATTTGAATAAATATAAAATATTATATGTTTAGGGGGTGATTGGTTTGGGGTATCTCACATTATCCGGGGAATGGAATGTGATTCCCCTGTTTGATTCGTAAACATTCTCAACTCCCGGTAATAAGTTATTCCCAACAGTGATATTTTGGTGTATATTGTCGGGAATGTGATTCCCTCCTTCCCTTAGGTATTGTTACATTCCTGGTGTTTTGGACTAAAATACCCTTAATTTTTTTTTTCAAAAATATTTTTCTTCTGTCGTTGAATAAAAAAAATCCTACGAATGTTAAATTGTAAATTTATCCTTAAACTATTTTAGATTTACAAAAAAAAACATAATTAGAATTTTATATGAAGTTTAGGAGTTAAAATAAAATTTAACCTTTTCATTAAACATATTTATCTTTTCAATTTTGTAAAAAATTATATAAATTTTATGAATTTAAAATTTTTAAAGAAAATATATAAATTAATTATAGTAGAATTCAACTTGTTAAAAACAAATATATAATAATAATATTTTGGTAAAATATACATTCCAATAATCTTTTATTCTTTTAACCAAACACTGTAATCTTATATTCCTGCTAAAAGAACCAAACATAACAATGCAACATTCCCGGTAATCTTATTCCCGCCTGTAATCATATTCTCGCCAGTAATCTTACATTAACCAAACACACCGTTAAAGTATTTCAAGTTTTTTTATAGTAAAAATTCATATTTATGTATAAGCGAATTTCAAATTGGAAATCCAAAGGAAAACAAATTTTCTTAATTATTAAGAAAATGAATTAATTAATAAATTAATTATATCTAAAATGTAATTTTAATTAAATAAATATAGTTTTTGGTTTAATTGATTGAAACAATGGGTGTGGTATTTTATCATTCCTGTCATCTCATTAAGTTTATTTTCTATTAAATTTTTCATGTTTAAACTTTGATCGTGATTATTTTAGATATTTTAATAATTAATTTTTATAATCGAGTCTCAAAGTACTTTGTATCATAACATGTTATAATTTTATTACGTAAAATTTATGATTTTTTAAAATAATTTTTTATATTTTCTAAATATTTTATATACTTTATTTTTTTACAATTTTAAAAATATTTTAAAAATAATTTAATATTTTTAAAATTTTCAAATAATTTTTTGAAATATAAAAATATCATATGACTATACAAAATCGTAATTACTTTGATGTTAGGCTAACATCAGTTTTTATTTGGATATAATTGTTGGTATCTGATTTAATAATTGATTAATTCAAATCGGGTGTTGTACAGGTAAGGACGATCCTCCCAACTCAGTTTGCTCCATACGCAAACATCAAAATTTAAACTTCTGACTTTACTTGATGAATCTAGTGTCATATCTAACTAGGCCAACTGATTGTTGGTGCAATTTATTTAATAAATAATAATTTTACCTAAATGAAATAAATTAGAGACCATAGAAAATGAATACATATAAAAATATTTTTATACTAATTTGAAAAAAAATATTTCACGTGTAATAGGGATGAAGTTATCATATGAGTTAAATTATTTTTGGGTTAAATTATTTTTTAAGTCTCTCGTACTTTTAAAACTAAAAATTATAATTTTTAATACTATTACTTTTAAGATTTCTTTTAATTTTAACATTAGAAAAACATAAAGTATTGATCGTATTTATTTATTTAAATATTTAATATGTCCCTATTTATTTTAAATTAAATAAACTAGGTGTAATTCTTATTTTTTTTAGTTTAAATATTAATTAAATTCTTATTAATTTTAAAATTAGGTAAAATAAATCATAATCTTATAATTTTAAAATTTTATATTAATTATTTAATAATTAAATTTATATCAGTGATGATTTTTATATCAAAGTTTCGTATATTTGTCGGAATGCTAATACGAAATGCATGAACTTGCTCATTGGACAACCTCCCATCGCCAATCTTATTATTTTTCTTATGTTTGTCATATCGTATTGTACATGTTATTCTTTCAAATGCTATTGCTACTTAATACATATTTTTCGTTCAAAAAAATAATTAGAGATTTAACTTATTTATTATCATTTATATTTGTCTCCATAGTTTCATATTGGTTAAGTGTCTTGTTTAGAGTTTAGGTTTATATGTTTTACGCTTTAATATTTGATCTTAGGGTTTAGAATTTAACGTATGTGTTATGGTTTTTTAAATATTTTAAGTAGTACGAATCAAACGATCTCAATGGTTAAGAGATTTGTTATTATCTATTGATGTTTTGGGTTTGAACACTAAATATGTCAAGGGTATGAGCTTTTATTATCAAAAAGTTTAAAGAGTCTTTGAACTTTAAAAAATATATATATATCAATTTGACTCTCAAACTCAAGTAGAAAAAAACAATTTAACCTATTGACCACATCATTAATCAAGTCGACATTGTACACTACTATATTAGTATTGTGAAATGTCACATCAATATTTTTGATCGAAATTCCCATATTAGATAAAAATCATTAATCAACAAATGATCAATATATTTTATTGATGTGACATTTTTATATATACTTAATTAATAATGTATCATAAGTCTTATCACATAACATAATAAGATAGCATGTACAAGATTACATAAAATAATAACGTGATATGTGTTATATCATTATAATATCATTTATGAAGTTAATTAACACTTAAAAACTTAAAATTGATATAAATTACATAATAAGATATTTAAGATGTAACATTTATCATCATTTCTCACATCTATGAATTTTTTATAGGCCTAAAACCATGCGAGTACATATTCAACTCCAACCTTTATAACATCAACCTGTACTTCACGAGCAATTCGTGTCGTAACTAGCGAGCCCCAGAAGCTCGGGACCTTCTAGGCGAGGGTTTTTCTCGAAGCTACATATTTTGGAAAAATATTGAAGATCAGTGACGTTGCACACGGAAAACAAAAGAAACAAATAGCTCTAAAATATTAGCAATGTGCACCAACGAAGCCGTCAATGAAGAAATAAAGCAGAAACTTAAAGGCAGATCGTCAATCAGGAACACCTAAAATAACTGAAGCTATACTAGCCAAGAGACTCTCGTTAATGTGCATTATGGTGTAAAGGAATAAAGAGCACGGTGTCTTTCTGCAAAACTGCCATTAATAACTAAGACTGATAGCAAAAGCACAGTGAAGGGCAGAAGGCCACAAACAAGGAATATGCCTAGCTTATCTACAGAGCAGATATAAATTGAGCTTGATCTTCTCCAAAGGCTTTAAATGATGTAGTCATTTACATTTAATTTTAAACATTCCTCGAGAAACTCTTCAAAGTCTTTATAGTTTATCCCAAAATCAAAATTATCATTATTACCACATGTGCATAAAAAAAAGAGTTAGAAATCCAGCTTAACCTTTACAGCTTTAAAGGTTTCACGTACAACTGACATCATAGTAAATGATCATGAAATGTAACCAGATTTAAAAAAATAATAATAAGAGAGGGGGGGTAAGCTCACTTGTTCAGAGGAATGTGCTCAAATGGTCCACTGGTAGGAATTGGTCCACATAAATCATTGTTTGAGACATCACTAGAAGAAACGAGGTAAAATTTCAAAGACCATAAGTCTAAGGCTTCTCAGAAATCCAGATAATGGTAGTTAAAGTCACAATACTTACACAACTTTGAGGTTTGAAACACCACCAAGTTCCCTAGGGATAGGTCCAGTTAACTTGTTGTCATTAAGCCGCCTGTAAAATGAAACGGCAATAAGTGAAAACAAAAAGAACAAAAATTTACCAGCATTGCAGTCCGTGACATGAGAATAACTCGAAAGGGAGTGATCATGGTGGCACTCTTTGAACACCAGTAGAGGACAACCATTATCTAATTCCTGTAATCTTAAGCCCTGATAATTCATTTTCTTAAGTCTAGATTCTAGAAATGAAAGCTTGACTATAATCTATTCAAGCATAAAGTGATTAACACTTGGACATGAGCACTCACAAGAATACAAGATGCTTCAGTTTCCCAAGTGACCGAGGAATGGTCCCTGAGATGTTGTTGTTATATAGGTCCAAACTAATGAGGCTCTTCAAGTTCCCAAGTTCAGCAGGGATGGTTCCTTGGATGTTATTTTTGTAAAGCTCCCTGCATGGAAGAGAAGATAACCACCAGTGAAGTTTTCTATGCATGGCAATGTATAATCAAGTAAACATTGATAAACAAATAATATGCACGTGCAAATATGTTGGTAGCTCCAGAATTCAGATACTATGAGCAGAAGTGGGCAAAGGTTAAAGGGGAAAGAACATACAGATACTGCAAATGTTCAAGCTTCCCAAGCTCAGGTACCAAATGTCCAGACAGGTTGGAATTACCCAAATCTCTGCAAAAAGAAAGGGAAAAAATATCATTTCAGATGGCATGTCATAATCCCGAGGTGCTAATTCTCAAGAAAATAAAATAAAAAGTTGTATTTAGAAATTACTGAAATTATTTAATCAAAACCAACAAAAAGTATCCCACTTGTATACTCTTTTTTATGTCATAAGTTCAAACTTCCACAAAAGCAAACACTTAAAATGTCTAATGATCCAAATTGAAGAATAGATAAAAACTAAATAACCACGCAAAAAGGCAATCTTCTATTCCAGAATAAAGGGAAATGGAGATGAACATACATGTATAGTTCTTGTTCGGGCAGGCAATGGTAAGAATTCCATCAATTCAAACACAAATGTTACAGAAATTGCAAAGTGACACTGCTTATAACAGCCTAACCCGATGTATCGTTTGACAGAAAGGAATTCTCCAAAGGCATAAACCACTTACCATTTGACATGGCATGTCAAAATCCCATAAGACGTGATTTCCAAAGCATGCAAATGGTACACCTCTTACCAAATTGAAACCTACTTCTAAAACTGTTTAATCAAAACCAACAAAAAACCTACCACCTTGTAACCCTTTCTATGTCATAAATTACAAAGCTGCTCTTCTCAAAGGGACATGTAGGTTATAGACACATCTAGTTCCAAACTTCGACAAAAGCAACACTCAAAATATCTAAAGCTCCAAATTGAAGAACAAACAAAAAACTAAACAACAGGGCAAAAAGGCAATCTTCTTCCCATAATAAAGGGAAAAGAAGATTAAAATACATATATAGCTCTTATTCAGGCAGACAATTGTACAACTTCCGTTGAAACAAACACAAACATGTTAAGGAAAATGTGAACTGTGAAGTAATTCTGCTTATAACAGCATAACCCAACACTTGCAAAGGAAATGAATCCTCCAAAAACCAAAACCTTGGGCATTACAACACTATTTAAGATCTAAAACATAAACTAGAATATGATTCAAACGTCACAATTAACCAAGATAAAGGGTATTATGGAGCCAAATCTATCAATATTCCGGATGAAAAAACTTCAATAAGCTCCGTAGTTGCCTTTTTGTAATAACTACTACTAATAAGCAGAAGAAGTACAAGCTCGTTCAATCCAACAGTTTTCTAAAGAATTTACCCACTTTTTCCCGATAAAAAACATGAGAGTAAAATAAACAAAAAAAAATCCAAACCCAGTTTAAACGAAGCAAGTACAAGGGATCTAACATGTCCTCAAATCATATATAACAATTTAGTTCTTTTATTTCTTAAAAAGGACAAATAAAAAGAAAACAACGAAAAATTTCAAAAAAACAAACGAGAGAGAGAGAGAGAAATCAGCATACACTCGGGTGACTCGACTATCTTGGTTACAACTAACGTGGAACCAAGTACAAGGATTAACAAGGTTCGGATCCCAGCTCTGGAGTACGTTATCCGGATCGACTAAACTTTTTCTCAACGTGTAAAGAGCATCTCCCTCGGAGTTTCCAAAAGCAGATGGAATCAGAGCCAGGGACACAGCAAAAGCCCATAGCCAGATCGGTGCCGCCATGGATGATGTTAGTTGCAGCTGCTCTGTTGGGGCTAGTATTTAATGATAAGGAAGAGAGGACAACAAAGAAGAAATGAGATGGAGATGAGGGGTTGGCCTTTTTAAAGATTCTAGCCACTACTTCCACCAAATTTCCAAGGGGAATGGCAGAGTAAAACATGGTCTCTCCTTTTATGCTTCTTCCCCCCCCCCCCAACTTTTTTTTAAGGAAAATAAAGTAAAATCAACGTAAAAATCAGTAGCGACGGTGGAAAAAGGAAGAGGAAAACGTTGGTTTTGGGGTGAGTTGGTCTTTGTTTGACTAAACTGATTCATCTTTTTTCCACAATCAACTTTGCGTACAATATGTGCAACTACTAAAGTCTTCTATTGACTTACACGGGCCCATCTAAGATCTAACATTAATTTCATTGGTGTTTTTTTTATTAATTTGGATGATTATAGATTAATATTTATAATTTATGAATATATTAAATAATTTTAATGATTAAATAGAGTATTATTTTTTTAGATTTTAGGTTCGAGTAGTTATGTTTGTAAGGTAAGAAAGATTATGAATATATGGTATCCTAGAATCATTCTAAACTATTTAAAAAAATTAATCTATAATGTATATATACATTTACAGACGTAATTATATTTTAATTTAAGTTTTTTAAAATATAATATTTACTTTTATCATTGAAATCATTTAATGAATTCAACTTCATTTATATTTTAAAATTATTTTCTTTTTATTGAAACAAAAATTTGATTAAACATATAATTTATACTTTAAATAGTTTTTTTCTCTTTTTCTTTTTATAAAAATGAATAAATAAATGTAAGGAAAATTGGATAATAAAAGTGGCTTTAAGTAATCTCAATCATTTCTTTTGTTATTTCTAAACTGTAATTTGGTTAATTTAATTACATTCGCTCGAATTTTCAAATAGTTAAGTCATACTAAAATAATAAATATTTAATTTAAATTTGAAAGGAAATATACCTTATATTATATTTAATCACAATTTATTTCCTAATTACTGTTGGAAAAGTATGAGGAATCTGACCAGCTCCACCACTTTGGTTTTATATGTAAAATAATAATATAGTGGACTTAATTTTTGAATACGTCCAAATCTTTGTTTCATACTCATTTAACGCGGCAATTCATATATTTGCGTCATATTTTATATTTATATAAAATTTAAGAGATTACTAATAATTCATTTATATAAAATTTAAACTATAAATGATGCTGTATTGTATATACTCTTTAATTATATATTTAAAATAATTATTAGATATTAATTTAAATTTTTAATTAATAATTAAATTAGTTTATTATAATAATTTTAATGATAAAAGATTATTTGATAATTAAATTTACTTATATAAAAATATTTATGAAACAAAGGTTTTTGATGATCAAGTATTTAAAATAGAATATGTACTAACCTTTCGGCAGAGTTGGGGCAATAATCTGAGCGAGCCATTTATTTAGCCCAATAGGGTAAATAAGTTTTTATTTTGGGATCTACGATAATTGTTACAGTCCTTATAGAAGTTACACGCTGATGTTACGAGTTCTATGTGATATTATTATTTAATGTTCTCAGAGACGTGGGTCTCGCAAACCTAATTTATTTAATATATTTTGGGGACACATGACCCAATACAAATTATTGTTTTCGTAATAAAAAAGATTTTAAAAAAAGTAATAATTTTTATTGGGACACGGAAGCGTGACGACTTCCAAGTTGAAAATTTGAATTTTTTAGGTTCTTCAACGTGACGAGTCAAATAAAAAAATATTTTTTGTAATAAAAAAGATTTTAAAAAAGTAATAATTTTTTATTGGGACACGAAAGCGTGACAACTTTCAAGTTGAAATTTTGAATTTTTTGGCCGTTGAGGGGATCGTTGGCCAACGTTCAAGTTTTTTAAAAATCAAACAGAACTCGTCACGTTAGTATGACGATTTTCAACAACTATATTAGCGTTTCAATTATAAAAAATATTATGTTAGCATAGTTAAAGAATCAATATTGTAAATTTTTATTTAATAAAAAAATTAATAATATTTACCGCATGAGATAATATTATTTAATGTTCTCATGTACGTGGGTCCTGCAAACCTAATTTATTTAATATATTATTGGGGACTCATCACCCAATAAAATTATTTTTTCGTAATAAAAAAGATTTTAAAAACAGTAATATTTTTTTATTGGGACAAGGAAGAGTGACTACTTCCAAGTTGGAAATTTGAATTTTTTTGTTGTTGAGAGAACCATTGGCCAACAATAAATTTTTTTTTTTAAATCAAAGGAACTCGTAACGCTAGTATGACGAGTTTTAACGATTATATTGGAGTTCTAATTATCAAAAATATTATGTTAGTATAGTTAAAGAATTAATATTATAAATTTCAATGTTAATGGAAAAATTAATAATATTTACTGCATGTCTATCGATAATATTGATCATCATCTGGATATCTACTTTGGTTGCATCCGACAACTTTGTACGGTTATTCAGTGTCGCCATCTAAACAACATAATAAATACAAATTAACAACTACACTATTTATTGTAATTTTCAAAAATTTCTATAATTTAAATATATAAATTTATCTTGCGGGGAACAGAAACTCGATAGGAGCGGATGTAATAGGCATAAAAACGGGAGACGATACCACGCCCATGATTGGAGTAAAACTAAACAACCCACTATATTCGTTTTTTGTCCTCTAATCACTATGGTCGTCTTGCAAAGTTCACGATACAAAAAAGCTAAAATCGTGGAATCCAACTATATTGGCGACATATAAGGAAATCTTCCAATACCAAAATATATTAGGCGTGCACCAAATTCATCGATTTATCCGATAACAAGAACCCTCCAATCAACGTCATAAGATATGTTCAGGCTGCATATTTCACCTCTTGCTCGGTTGATTGTTAATTCACTCTAAATTATTTTTCCAACTATGTCATTCGTATTCGCATCCCATCGATAACATCGGTTGGAGCCTCATTTCCCAATAAATCATAAATAAACATATCTCGCGCATAATTGTTGTAAATCATCAATGACATTCCATTAATCGAAACGCCAAATTGATACACAACATCTTCTAATGTTATGGTCACTCTATCACAAGGAAAATGAAACGTATGAGTTTTGGGCCTCTAACGTTCAATCAACGCCGACATTAATGTCGGCGTCACCTTAAAACCACGAAAAATGTGGCTAAATACAATCTGGGTTGTTGAAGATAAATCACAATTTGCTCATGTGGCTTTTCATTCGTTATTCCTCGATGATGAATGCCCTGTTATTCTTGCTACAAATATAAAATAAAATAATTAATAAAAATTTAAAAATAATAAATATTAATATTGCAATTTTTACAAAAATCAAATAAAAGAATGAAATTTTACCGTAGTCAGCTCGGTCGAGGAAATATGAACATCATCAAGACGTAATATTTATTATCTGGATGCCATTTCAACAAAAAAAATTTAATCTCAATAGAATTTTTAATTTAAAGTAAATAATCAAACCAACCAAAACATCCATTTATACTTGTAACCCCCACAGACCGATAAGGGTAGCCCGATCCGATCCGGGAAGTCACATTAGGGCCACCGGAGCGACCCATTGTAAAAATAGCGGAAAATTTAAATCTTTTTATCAGAACATGTAAACTTATAAATCATTTGTCACTATTTAAAAATAAAACATATTTCCAGACTCGTATATAAATCAAAATACAATTACATGCCCCCTAATCACATGTACCATACTCTGCAACAACGCCGGAAGAACTCCCTTACTGAAGTCGATAGATGCACTGGTACAATTCTTTTAACCTGAAAAGGTGAGTAATAGAGTGAGCTTTGGAAAGCTCAGTAATACAGAACTACCAGATGATGCTGATGAACGTGCAGATACAGATAAATATTTATTTCCTTATTGCTTCTGAGCATTTACATATTTTTTGCTGAGCAGAGATTCTACTGATATTTCGGGTGGTAACGGACAATGAGCTTTCGTTCAGAGAAATATTTCGGATGACTGAGTTGAGGAGATCAAATAGTTTTCTAGTGTTCTCGAAAAATTCAGTAAAAAGATACAGATCTTTTAAAACATATATAATATATACCCCATCCGTTCACATCATAAATGTGTAGGTTTCCCCAGAACCATACACCCAACGCACATGCCATTTAGACCCTGAGCACAAAGCCGAGGAGTCTGCAGATAATCTTCCTCCAACAATAAACCCCCAGATAAAACATTTATCCGTCGGTAAACGGAGATATCAGAAATCAAAAATAATTCAGATCAGATATCAGAACAGAATCCAGGTTAGGAATCAGAACAGATTTCAGATCAGTCAAAACAGAATTCAAATCAGAAATCAATAAATATTCATATAAGTAGGAACACACCAGTTTACAAATATTATTCAAAGGTACTGGATAATCTTAGCAAGTAGAGAAATATGGATCTTCAGTATACCGATAGAATGTCGGAATTTAGAATCACTATTGTAAAAAGTTCAATAACTGACAGAATCATCAGTTTATTCAGAATGTGAATTATCAGGATCATATCTTATTCGGACAATTTTCAGAAGTTGTACGTAATCAGAAGGGTATTCAGAATCCTTGCATCCATGTCAATTGATCGGATAATCGACAACTTGAGAATGAAGATTCAACCTTAACAATCTATGTCGACTGGTCAATTCATTTTCCTTCCAGGGTATTTACCCTTTAATACCACAAATTCTTGTTCATATTTCATTTTCGAAATTAACGTTGAATAATCTTCTAATGTCTTTATTTCATGTTCACGTTTTTCACCATATCATGAAATACTGACGTACTGATTTTGTAATTCATAATCCATAAGAACATTACATCATATATCATTAACATTTCCAGATTCATCCAACTCACTTATTCAATCCTCAGTCCTTGTGGTTACTTAATTTATTTAGCATTCAGTCCATTCCAGATACTTCGGATTTTCCAGAGTAATTCAAGCGTTCCTGATTTTTCAGACACATGTGCACTTCCGTTACATTCAATTTGGTCTTTGGGCTGATTTGTCGTGCAAACGTCCAATTCTTAGTACTGATGCG